CACGCACACACACTCCCGCTTGGTGTCCTAGCTTCACATCCATCCCTTCTACCCTGTAGCCCAGGCCAGCCATCACCTCCTGCACCATCTCCTTGATGAGCTTGTTGGCAGCCCGGAGGTCCTCTGGGTGTGAGCTTTTCAGCAGGCGGGCCAGCATCTGCAGAGACAAGGAAGTGACTGAGGGCTGAGGGCAGCACCACGCCAGAATCTCTAATCCTGACCCTCTGACTGGGGGGGGGGCTGGGCAGACCACTAAAGCTCTAGGCAAAGTGGTGAAAACTGACTGACATCTGATGGGTGTCCGTTCAGATACGAGAGACAGCGTACACACTCCTCACAGAGCACAGCAGGAGGATGTCCTCAGCACACAGCCCTCCCTCCCCAGAGCACTGTGGCTTTTGGAACTTCCAGGCGGACACACCAGAAACCACAGTAGTAGCCTTGGAAATGCTTCTTCAACCAAAAGCAAGTCAACTGGTATACAAGGACATAAAACTGTGCAGCTCCTCCCACAACCCTGGGTCGTGAATTGTGCTTACTGAATACGGATGCTGGCATGGGGTCAGTGTATTCAGCAGGAGCTAAGTACTGCTTCCTCCCACAGCCACCTCCACAAGGATCACACTGGGCATGAACCTCTGCTCTTACCTTAGACTTCTCCTCATCTTCAAAGATCACATTCTTGGGCCGTGGAGGCGGGAGGGAGAAGATGGCATCTTCTGGAAGCTTGGGGTCAGACTTCACAATCCCTGGGAAGACAGAAGGCTGTCAGTAGGTATCAGGACCAGAGGTATCAGGAGGGGCATATGAGAATAGGGTGGCAAGGTCAAGGGTGTAAGCATGGGCGTCTATCCAAGTCACAGCACCAATGTAAGTATAACAGCTCGGATGCAAAGGTTTCTTGGCAGCCAGGAGCCAAAGAATACCCCAAAGTCACACCACACAACAAACCTCACAAGAGATTTATTGAAGGGAAAACCAGGAGGGTGACTGCCTCTGCTCGGGCAGATATGAGCCCTGTGTCCTGTTCAGTCTGCTCTGCTCCAGTAGACACAGAGCTCATAGAGTTTCTTGGGGAGGGAGTAGAACTCTTCAGGGTGGAGCTTTCCAGGATGGAGATTGGTGGGATTTCATGTCCAGAGATTGGGTTTTTTACTCTGTAGGGTAGGGGCGGGGTCCAGCACTTAGGGCAGTTAGCGTTCTGTGGGTGGAGCCTGGCAGTTAAGAGGTTCTTGGGGGAGGGGCCTGGCCATTCGTGTGGCTGGAAAGGCTTTACAAAAGGGAGGTCAACTCACCAGCTTTGGACTTTGATGGATGGGACTACATTTTTGTTTGTTTGTTTTGGTTTTAGAGACAGGGTTTCTCTGTGTAGCCCTGTAACTCACTCTGTAGACCAGGCTGGCCTGGAACTCTCAGAGATACGCCTGCCTCTGCCTCCTGAGTACTGGGATTAAACTACTTCTGACCTGCACAGTGAACTCCATCAGAGATGGTTTGAATCCAATATATATTAATATATACATACTATATTAATATAAATAATAGATTTTTTATTTTTGAAAATTTTTTATGTGTGGTGTCTGTGTCTCCATGTGGGTATACACATGTGGAGGTCAAAAGCATCAAATCCCCTAGAGCTGGAGTTACCAGTGTTGTGAGCCACTTCAGGGGTACAGGAAACCAAACCTGGGCCCTTCGGAAGAGCAGCAAGGGTTCTGAACTGCTGAACGCTCTCTCCAGCTTCCATACATATTTTTTGAGAAAGGCTACCATGTAATCCTTTGGAACTCACTCTGTAGCCAAGGGTGGCCCTTCAACTCCAGACCCCCCTGCCCCTCTTCCTCAGTGCTGGGATTCTAGGTGTCACCACCGTACCTGGAGTACTCGCTCTTGGGGACGAACCCGGAGCTCATGCATGTTAGGCAAGCATTCTGCCAACTGAGCCCCGTCCCTGGGCCCGGGCACCTGTGTTTTGTCGCCACCCTCTGAAGGTAAGCTTGACCCCATACCACCTTTCTTTTTTCACCCAAGCTGGCCTTAGGCACAGTCACAGAGAGGCCCCACTGGCTGTGTGTTCTTGAGACACTAAGGAGAGACCCATGGCCTTGCTGGCAGAGAACCCTGAGACTGCTGGAGCCTGAGCTGCAGGCCGGGCATGTTACTGGTCCCTGCCACCCCACGGGTGGAGGCTCACCCTGCTTCTTCAGCATCTGGTAGGCTTCTGAAATCTTCACCTCCTCAGGCAGGCCGACCGTCCAGCTGTACAGCAGCTCCAAGATCTTATTCTTCACCTTCTCTGACGTCCGGGAGCCCAAGTACTTCAGAGACATACAGAAAGGGAGTTCGACTCGGAGGCTGCTCAGCCCCGCTCACTCGAGTCCTAAGCCTCCAAAGTCCAAGATGCCCTGCAGCCTGGTGTAAACTGAGCTCAGTTCTTAGCTGGACTACCCAATGGCTGTGCCCATTGTCTGTGACTCAGTTTCCTCATTGTGGGCAGGCGGACCTTGGAGGCCCCGAGCTCAGAGCACACAGAACTTAACCTTGTGACCCCAGCAAGGAACCTAGGGCTCCAGGTGAGGAGGAAGGGCTGGTGTGCACCCATCAGACCCCACACATCATTTCCAGCATCGAACTAGGCCAAGAGACTTCCACTGCAGTTCTCTCCTGGGAGACATGGGGCTGCACGGCCCCCTCAGAGTTCTGCTCAGAGGAAGGGCAGGGGGCTGGGCATCGAATATGTACCCAATCTGGGAGGACTTCTCAGGCCAAAGGTCAGTAGCCAGGGTGTGGCCCATCTGCTAACATAACTGACTCAGGTTTGTGGCTTTGGATGCTGAGGCTCACAGAAACCACATCTAGGTGATGGAGACAGGGAGAAATGTCAGACATCTAGGCAACCTAGGCTGGGCACACCCAATGACAGCATGTGTGTGACCTGGGATCAGCTCTCCCGGCGAACTGGATAGTTCCTCAGCTACCATGCTTTCCTGACTCAGCCAGGCCCTGGAGAAGGCTCTGTACTAAATTTCCAACAGGGAGGGCCTAGGGATCCTTTATCTACAACCCATCAGACCCAGCCTTCTGGGCCTTGGCCAGGACGCACCTTGGGAGACACGACCTTGATGAGCTCGTTCAGGAAGCGGAACTTGCCCACCTCATCGTGGAACCGCTTGCCGCAGCTCTTCATGCATGTTTCCAGAACCTGGGGAAGGAAGCAGTCAGGGAGTTCCTGACCTTGCCAGGGCCCAGAGGAAGGGAATGACCCTTGAGGGCACAAGGTGCAGAGGCTCAAAGGTTTCTGCGATTGCTCATCACCCCCCAGAGCACCGAGTCAGGGGTCTTCCGCTGAGCAGCATTGTTCAAGCTGCAGTATGACTACAGGTTCCTCTCTGGCCTGGGCCACGTATCACGTGTACATGGCCTTTTTACTATTTTTCTTCTTCTTCTTCTCATATTTTTAAATTTTTTTAAAACATGGTTTCACTGTGTAGCTCTGGCTGTCCTGGAACTCACTCTGTAGACCAGGCTGGCCACGAACTCACAGAGATCTGCCTGCCTCTGCCTCCCGAGTGCTGGGATTAAAGGCGTGTATTGCCACCACCTGGCTTATTTTTCTTCGTTTAAAAAACAATTTGGCGGGCTGGAGAGATGGCTCAGAGCTTAAGAGCACTGCCTGCTCTTCCAGAGGTCCTGAGTTCAATTCCCAGCCACCACATGGTGGCTCACAACCATCTATAGTGAGATCTGGTACCCTCTTCTGGCCTGCAGGCATACATGCAGGCAGAATACTGTATAAACACGATAAATAAATAATCTTAAGAAACAAAACTATTTGGCACTGCTCTGGCCTTTCCCAAACTCGTGAGGTCACAAGACCTTGCACACTTGAGGAAGAAACCCCAGACCAAAACTGATGTGTTGGAACATGTATGGTTACTTAGAGCAATTTCCCCCTGACCTTGGACAATCTTGTCCCAAGGTCGCTAGTATGTGGGCTGTGCACAGAGGCACAGACAGCAACCCACCTCTTTTGCTCCTGGCATAGCCAAGAAACCTCAATCCTGAGCCTAGCTCTCACTGAAGAGGACGGTGCTGGCCAGGGTCTGCAGCTCCCGCGCGGCTTGTCCAGCCCTTGCAGAGAACCTGGGAGCTTTACAAACACAGACTCCAAACCATGCATGCTGAGAGCCCTGACTGTGTTTAACATGTATCCCGGGGAGGTGTCCATTGGGCAGCTGAAGTGGAGAATCCCTGCCACCACCATCAGAGGCCCAGCTGTGACAGAAGGCTAGTCCAGTGGCTGCTGTTGGGAACCTTCAAGGCTGGCCCAGACCTGTATACTGGATCACCTGGTCACTCACAGAACCCCAGGATCTTTTCTTACCGTCAAGGCCTGGATGGCCTCCCACTCCTGCGGGGACTGGATCTTGTGGGCCAGCAAGCGGGTGGCGAGTGAAGGCCTGGAGAGAAGGGACAGGCATGGCTGACATGGTCACTCAAAGAGACAGTCACTACCCCAGACTGCGGCACTTCAGCCCTCTACTGGCCCTGCGAAGCACATACAAAGGCCCACCTCTCTCCAGATCAAACAGGACCTGGGATGGTGACAGCCAGTGCCAGGCACCCAGTGCAGGCAGGGACCTTCAAGAGGTATACACTTAGCCCCTTTCGGCTTTAAGAACTACGGCACAGGCCTGGAGATGTTGCTTACTGATAGAGCACCTGCCTAGCATGGGTGAGTGAGGCCTGAGTTCTAATTCCTCACCACCAGAAGCAAAAGCAGCTGTGTCTCTGGCTTGCACACGGGATGGTAGGACCGGTGACCGCAGCCTGGGTGCTGAGGCCATGCAAGGTGACCCCTAGCAGCCCCGCTCCTTGCTCTCCTCAGTGGCGGGACACCCAGCAGCGCCCACACGTGCAGCACTGGCAGAGCCAGGCTACCACTGAGGAGTGGTAAACGGCTTGCCCAAGGCTAATCGGAGGTGGGATTCATTGGCCCCAAAGCCCGTGAACCCCAAACCAAGGGCTGCTGGAAGCACCTGTCCCGGGAAGGAAGGTGGAGGAGAAACATCCTGTGACTCATCCCTGCGATCCAGCAGCACCAAGGAGCCTGGGCGTCCAAGTCCTCGGGGAGTCACTTCTAGGGGCGGCCCACATGTGCATTTGGGACAAGCATTCCAGGTACACGAAGGACCTTTGGGGAGGGTGTAGTCTGCCCTCTAGGAGGCCCCAATAAACCATCAGCCACATAGTAGGGTGAGATTTGACCGAGCTCAGGACTGCAGTGTCCTGGTGAGATTCAAAGAGGGTGGCCTATGTGTAGCCTCCAGCAAAAAGTGCCACTGTCTTTGTTAACTGTGGGTGCACTGAGAATGGAAACCGGGTCTCTAGCCTGCCCAGGACCAGGTTCTGGAGTGTGTGTGACGGGACACCATGTTCCGCTGCGTGTCAGCCAAGTGGAGCCACCTACCCCTCAAAGTCTTCGTTGAGCTGTTCGCAGAAAGCGTTGATGCTGGCCCAGTTCAGCTCCTTGTTCAGGGGATTTGTGGCTCTGTCTGCAGGAGCAGAGGGAGTCAGTATGGGCTAGTGGCGTTTCTGCCTCTCCTTACTCTTCCCTGCGCCTGGCGAGGTCAGGAGGGACTGAACACATGGGAGAGGCTTCCCTCCACTTCTGGCCGGACAGCCCCAAGCCTGAGCCCCGACCTTCCAGCCCAGTCAATGGGCAGAAGCACACATGGCTGCTGCTTACCCTGCCTGTCCACCGGAGGGCCCCACCTCCAGAGATGACAGCCAGGGACCACCTTCCATGGTTGTACCCACCATGCTGACTTTACCATCTCTGAGTCTGTTCTCGAGAACAGCATCCCCATTATCCTGGAATCTGTACTCAGGAGATTTAGGGGTAAGGGAAAGGTCAGGGTCCTGGTCCTTGAAGAACTACAAGCTGGGCAGTGGGCCAAGAAAAGCCAGGCTCTCAAGAAAGGGTGAGTGGCCAAGAAACCATAGGAACCTAGAGCAGCAGACTTGGGTCAGCCTGGGGCCAGGGCAGCTGCCCAGAGGAGGTAACATTCCAGCTAAGTCTGGAAGGAGTTAACCAGGCTGAGGGCTCATCTGCCCAGCTAAGGACATGAGCCTGGGAAATGTTGTACCCTGGACCTCAGGTCTAGTCCTGCCGACCTTGTCCCCGGGGAGTGGCTCAGGAATACCTCTTCTGACGGTCCTCTCTGGTCCCTCGCTTCTGCCCAGGGTGACAGTGGCTGTGCCCCTGACTGTTCTTTGCTGTGGGCCCGAGCGGACTATTACACAGTGCTACTGTGACCTCTGCCATCGTGAACACAGCGATGTCCCCTCAGTGTGTGAGAGGAGGATGGATGGATGAGGGAGCAGTGGAAGGCAGGATGAGGCCGGGGAAGTTGGAATGCAGGAATGAGTAATAGCAAAGAGGAGCGTGGTTGATAATACCAGACAATCCCCTTCTCGAGCCCTCAACACTGGCCAAGTGGAGATCTAGTATGCAATACAACCTCCCTGAACCCCCATTTCCCCACTTGTAGAGCGAACCAATCACAGGTCGGATGACAAATGCTTCGTGCGTGGTGAGGCTGCAGTGTCCCCGTGGTGTCCCCGTTCTGCCCATGCTGGGGGTGCAGAGGGCCACAGCCCAAGAGGTGGGGCTGTGAAAGATCTGTAGACCAGAGGAGGCTAGGGCCCAGTACGCGGCACCTGCCCAGCTGGGGATCTATGCTATGCCTGGGGGCCTAGACACCCTAGTGCCTGGCAGCCATCCACACGATCCATATTTATTTTTAAAAAATACAGTGGTGGACAAAAGCCCTGCTCTCCTGAAGCTCACTGGCCTAAACAAAGCAGCGCTGACGACTCAGATTAGCGATCACAGAAGGGCTGGCTGTAGAGAAGGGCAGAGCGGGCAGAAAGAATGGGAGGTCCTGGGTTAGGCTGCTCTCTCCTAGGGGCTCAGAGGCAATATGGCTGGGCAGAGGGCTGAAGAAGCATTATCTTGGTACAAATCTATCCCACAAGTCTTTCGGGGACCCTCCAGTCCTTGAGAGAAACAGAAGACACCAGTGAGCCCCCAGCAACACCAGGGACATCTCCTGCTTCCTCGGGGAAGGCTGTACATTTACTGTCCCCCACAATGGCCAAGGACTGAACACTGGAAAGGGGACAGCTGGGAAAAGGGCTAAAACAGGAAGTCCTTCGAAGTGTCAAAGGCACGTGAGCTCCAGTGAGGGTGGAGGCAGTCAATGTGGAGTCAGGAGCCAGGGAAAAGGAAACTCTGACTGCCCAGACCAGCTTCTCCCCAGCATTCGGCAAACTAAGGATCTTAGAGCTGGAGGAGACAGGCCCCCTCCCTTTCCCCCAGCCTCCACCTGGGGGAGCATCTCCCCTGGCAGGTGGCAGGGGAGAGGACGTGAGGAGGGGTGTTTCACAACGGGGTGTGACTCTTCTGATGGTGAAAGCATCTATGGTCCTCCCCAGAAGCTACCCTTTACCTCTAACCTCCTGAGACCTGTGAAGCTGTGGTATCAAAAGTCCACAGCCAGTGTCTTCTCCCACCCACCCTCCCCTCCCCCACTGCCAGGCTGACTCTCCTACATTCCCCCAGATGGTGTGTGGTTTGGAATCAGTCTCCTGGTTCAACTCTGTTCCAGACCGGCTTCCAAGGTGCTGGCCATGACTTCCCACATCACCCCGCACAGGGTCCTTGGTGTACCTGAGGCCAAGAGGTTCAGCTGATAGCCCCATCCAGAAAGGCCTTAGGAGAGACCTGTCCCTAGATGGACCAGAAGAGGCAGCCTGCGGCTCCCAGGGGGCAGAGTCTAAAGAATGGGGTTGGCAAAGCCAAGGATCTTCAGCAGGGTGGGACAGGGAGAGCAGAGGGAGGGGCTGGGGGCTTGGAAGCAGGAGCTGTAGGAAGCCGTTTCTAAGGAGACAGGAAGCAAGGGCAGAGGCCTCGGGAGGAAGCTCAGGAGGGGCTGGGAAAGCCATCTGGGATGTGGAGGGAGGCTGGGCTGGGTGCAGTGACAGCGAACTTGGGTCTCTTTCATGGAGTCTGAGACGGGACCCTTCCGAGCTTAAGCACTGGGAGTTTCTCCCAGCCTGGCCAGAGCAGGGGGAGAGGGGCCAGGAGTCCGCCCGTCCCTGGACCCGGGGACTAGCTGCGAGCACAGGGTGAAAAGTCTCAGGCCTTGAGCTAGTGGGGGTCCCTCAGAGGCAGGACTCGAGGGGCTGCTCTTGGGTGCAGCAGTCGGGGCCCTCGGGGTTTGGGGGTCGCTCTCGGCGGCCCGGTCCCCGGGTGGGTGGGCGGCGCCCGCTCCCAGCCCCGCTGCGCAGCTGCCAGGGTCCGAGCGGCGAACTGGGGCGCCGCCCCTCCTGGGCCCGGGGGGCGGGGCGTGAGGAGGGGGCGCGCGGACCCCGCCCCCGCGGGGGAAAGGGGCCAACCTCGCGCCCCCGGTTCCGGTTCCGGTCCGGCCCGCGCCCCTCCCGGACACTCACTGATTCGCGCCTCCAGCGTCTCCGGCTCCATCGCGGGCTCCATCCGCCACGGGCCCCCCGGCCTCGGCGCCGCCCCCCGGCCCCCCGCCGCTCTCGCGGGAACTCCTCGGCCCCGCCCACGGCCGGTTAAAGGGGCCGCGTCCGCCCGGAGGAGTCGGGACGGGGCGCTGGAGCGCCGGGCACCATCGAGACGCGGGCGGGGACGCCCAGAGCGCCACCTCCTGGCCAAACCCTTTCCCCCCGGGCGCCCGCTGGCCGCTTCGCGGGTGGGGTCCGCCGGCGGCCTCGCAGCTCCCGGCGTTCAGGCGGGAAAGGAAGCGGAGAGCCTGGGGGTTGCGGGCGGCACCATAGAAACACCGCGGGACGCTCTCACTCGGTCAGCGTCACGCAGAGACCCGTGACCGCTTCCGGGACAACGCTCCGGGGCCATGTTTCTGAAGGGCTCTGAAGTCACTTCCGGAGCCCTCGGGGGGTACTTCCGCCCAAGTGGGGAAGTGGTGTGTCCCTTAAAAGGGCGACTGGGCCCCGTGGCCAAAGCGAAAGTGACGAGGTTAAGCTAGCGTTTGTTGAGTGCTTTAGTGCCCCAGGCGTGGGTCTTAGCGTTGTTTCCCCCCGTGGGACGAGTTTCACGATGTTGTCCTGGAAATCGCTCTGTAGACCAGGCCGGCCCGGAACTCGAGATCCCTTGATCTCTGCCTCCCAAGTGCCGAGATTAAAGCGGTGCGTCACTGCGCCCAGCCAGGGGCTACGTATTTTTCCCCCCATGAATCCATTCCTCAAACCCGGAAGCCAGGTAGTGAGTATGTCTGTAATCACCCAAGGGTCAGAGAAGCTTGCACCCGGTGCTTCCTCCTGCCGTCAGCTTGCAAACCCGCGGAGCAAGAGCTCATTGCATTTCGATTGTTGTGTGACCAGCACTGAAGAGAAAGGCCAGCTGTCTAGCCCGCATGGTGATGAGGAGCTGGGCGTGCTCTCCAGGTCATAACGCCGGCACTTGTCAGACCGAGGCAGGAGATCAGCAGTGGAAGGCCGATGGGGAATATCCTATCTCAGAGCACACAACCCGCACCGGGGAAGCCCGAAGGGTGGTAACAAAGTGAGAGGGTCTCATTCCCCAAACTGGGGCAGTGACGGAGTCTGGCTCTTTTGGGGCGGGGGTTCAGGGAGCAATAATGCGAAATACTCCGTTCTTTCACCCGCGTCTTTTCATCCTCGGCGGGTCGCCTTGGGGAGGTCCCAGGAATGCCCAGCCAGTTGCCCTCTGTCGTCCCTGGCGGCCAGCCTGGGAAGTGGCGACTGGTGCCCTCTCCGGCGAGCCCGCGCCCGGGAGAGTTAAAGATCATCTGAGACGGGAACCGGCGAATCCAGTTCCGCGAGCCTGTGGCCTTGGGGAGGGATCTAGATTCACCTTGGAGAACCACAGTGACCTCATTTCAGTCGGTTTTTCTCCTGAACCCAGCGTTCACTGCGACGTGTCATTCTCTGCCGCAACCCATAAGCCACAGGAGGGGATACGTGTGTATAGTGCCTCAACACAAGTTGGCACGAGATGGGCCTGGCCCTCTTTCTTTTATTATTAAAATTGTTAATGAAATAAAACCCAAACTGCGTTTGCCCAATTGATTTAGAGTCAGATCGCCCATTCACAGGCACTTTTGGGAGTTGGGGGGAGGCGCCGGAGGCAGGGTCTTATGAAGCCTAGGCAGGACTTGAACTTCTCTGATGTTTTTGCCATCTCAGAGTGTACCACCACATCTGCAAGGGATTAGGGCTTTCTGAGCTAAGTAAATACTCCACCTACAGAGCAACATCTCTAGTCACTTCAGTTTCCATTTCTCTTCAGACGAAGACTTTTTTTTTTTTTTAAAGATGTATTTTATGTGCATTGGTGTTTTGCCTGCATACATATCTGTGTGGGGGTGCCAGATCCCTGGAACTGGTGTTACAAAGACAATTGTGAGCTGCCATGTGGGTGCTGGGAATTGAACCTGAGTCCCCTGGAAGAGCAGCCAGTGCTCTTAACCTCTGAGCCGTCTCTGCAGCCCCCAGACATAGTCTTTATAGCCCAGGCTGATGATTTATATGGTGCTGGGGATTGAACCTAAGACATTTCATACATACATGATAGACAGACACTTTACCAACTGGGCTCTACCCACAATCCCCTGCTATGTATTTCTTTGCATGCTTATGGTGTGTGTGTCTCCCCATCCAGAACCTTAACTGTCTAGGAAACTTCATCCCCGGGGAAATGCATCTGGTGAATCTCTGTCTGAGTTTCTTCTCCCATTGCTGTGATAAAACACTCTGACAAAAGCAATTTAAAGGGGACCGGCTTTGTGCTGGCCCTCAATTCAAGGGTGCAGTCCATCTTGGTGGAACCTGAAGGAACTGGCCACATCACATCCGCACCTGGGAAACAGAGTGCTGAACCCAAGCTGCCGCTCAGCTCCCTTTCTCCACTTACACAGTCCAGGGTCCTAACAGGGGATGGTGCCACCCACAGTGGGCAGATCTTCCTGCCTCCATATACTCAGTCAAGATAATCCTCCCAAGGCATGCCCAGCAGCTCATCACCCAGGTGATTTAGATCTGTTGAGTTGACAGTACTAATCACCACAATCTCCTGAGTTGCTGGTGTCCAGAAGGTGCTGGGTCTCAGAGCCTGGTGCCGCAAATCGTGGCGCCTGCCCACGTTGAAGGAGTCTCAGAGTTGGCACAGAACGTCCAGACACCAGGTTCTCAGCACAGAGGAGGTTTTATTTATCTGGGAGGGGACAAGCAGGGGAGCTGCCTCTGGATCAGGCAAAGACAGCAGCAAATGTCTCTGCAGGAGTGGTTTTTAAGGAGAAAAGGATGTCTGTTAGGATGAGTTGGTAAGTCCTGACTGGACATGTTAGTGTAACCAAATAATGAACTTTGGTGCTGGACCTTGGCGTTTTGATAGTTGGACCTTGGTGATCAGCCTCAGGAATGGATTAGACATAAGGAAGTGGCCAAATAAGAGAATAGGCCTGGGTGGTCAGCTTTAGGAATGTAATGTAACGGTTTAGCAAGTGGAGAGGGCAAGACCTGCTGGCGCCATGTTTGCCGTGCCCGGGCCTTTAGAAGGCCCTCCACACATTGCCTGTGGATCTGAAGAAAACCGGAAAGAGGCCTTCTCATCTCCTGCTGTCCTTTCTCCCTTCCTTCCCTTTCCCTCCAGGCAGACCACAGAAACTAGAATTCCTCACACCCAGAGTGAGTCATAGAAACTAGCACCCCCATCTAAAGTCTGTTCACAAACCTGGCCCTCCGCAAACTCCCCAACCTTTTGGGGGAAGAAACCAGCCAGAAAGGGGTGCTCTCATCTACCTGCACCCCTCTAACAGTAGGCTACAAGACCTTCATCTCAGAGGGGCCTGCCTTACACCCCGGAGGAAGAAGGGAGCTGGGCCTTGCTGGGCCTCCCCGTCACCCTCTCCATCAGACCACACTCTTGCCCAGTTGCATTCTGCATGGCTGTTTCTGTTTCATCAAATGGGAGCATGAACATGGAGAGCTCACTCAGGGTCTTCAGGCCTTCCTTCTAAAGTGACCTGTCATAGAAAACTGATTAAATAAATTTGTTACGCTTCCATCCTGTGGATCTGTCTTGGTCAGCTTTATTTCAGACCTAGTCAGGAACTCCGGGAAGGCTGAGGAAGCTTCTCCTCCCCTGCCATGTTCGATAAATATGCACTGAAAAAAATGAACGCCAGCGTCCAGCTCTCTGCGGTGAGCTTCGGCGAGTCGGAGGGCGTTGGATCCTCTGGAACTGGAGTTACAGACGGCTGTGAGCTCTGCTCTCTCAGGGGACCCAAGTACGGTTCCTGGCACTCACATTGGTTGACACCAGTTACTCCAGCACTGGGAGGATATGACACCTCTAGCCTTCTGCACTCATGTACACAAACACACACACACACACACACATACACACACACACACACACTTAAAATCTTTATAGTGGCGTATGCCTTTAATCCCAGCACTTGGGAGTCAGATCTCCGTGAGTTAGAGGCCAGCCTGGTCTATAAAGCAAGTTCCACAATAACCAAGGCTACATAGACACTGTCTCAAACAAAACAAATCTTTTGAAAATCATTGCATGTTCATTTACACATGTATGTATACAACATGGCCCATGTGTGGAGGACAGCGGACAACTTTCAGGAGTGGATCCTTCCACCTTACCAGGGGATCCAGACTCAGGTAATCTGCTTGGTGGCTGGTGCCTGTATTCACGGAGTCATCCAGCTGGCTCCACACCAGGCTTTAGGTGGCGCTGGCCACTAAACCTAGGGCTTTGTTGCGTGCTAGACAAGCCCTCTATCCATGAGCCTCATCCCCAGTCTGACATTTAATCATCCCAGGGAAGGACAGCTGCAAACAGCAGCAAGCGCGGGGTTTGACCCAGCCCTTGCTCTTCCCTTCCCCAGCACGGAGGTAACTGCAGAGCACCCGCCTTCACCCCCCTCGCTCACCAGATCTGCACACTGGCCCTTTGTCTCCTGCCACCTTGCAGGACGAGGAGTCCAAGGACAGCAGGAAACACTTGGAGAAGCTCCGAGAAAGGACTTCCTTGTCTTTCACACTCACAGCTGCCAGGGGCTGGAACAGTTGCCACAGATGTAGAGAATCTCAGAGCTGGCAGACATCTTTGGCCTCGTCTCTGTATCCAGAGAGTTTGGATCTTTTTAAAAAACTGATGTTCAGGGTGAGAAATTCGTTAATAAGATGAGGTGAAGTTCAAGTTTTTTCGGAGCTTGAAGTTTTATCAACAATTTAGGGACATCTTAAAAAAAGACACTGAGGCCAGCCTGGTCTACATAAGAGAGTTTCAGGTCAGCCAAGACTCCACTGGGAGTGCTCCTGTCCCTCTCCCCACCCCCACAAAGACGCCCCCAAGCTCAGCATTCTGGAGGCAGAGGCAGGCGGATCTCTGTGAGTTCCAGGCCAGCCTGGTCTACAAAGCAAGTTCCAGGACAGTTGGGGTTACACAGAGAAATCTTGTCTTAATAATAATAATAATAATAATAATAGTAATAATCTTTAAAAATAAAATTGTAAACAAAAATAATTTTTGAGTGCAAACATACACTTGTTTAGAATGAGAAACAAATTTCTATAGATATGATCTTTGGAGCTGCACGTGGTGGTTTTAGCACTTTGGAGGCTGAGACAGGAGGATCACTGTGGG